ATCCGTTTTGCATTACTTTCTGTGGGAAAGGGCACCCTGGTTTTGGAACATTTTGGTTTTGGGACGGACTTCCGGAATGGGTTAAGTTTGAGAACCAAGGTACCACTGTATTTACACATAAATACAACCTGCACCTAGATGGAGGGATTGCAGAACATTAATAATAATAATGTATTATTTATACCCCGCCCATCTGGCTGGGCTTCCCCACCTATGAGGGTCTGGGTTCCCCCTTAAGGGGGGATGCAAAGGACAGCAAAAAGCCATCATCTGTGTCTCTTAGTTCCAGCCGGCCATTCCCAGCTCACCTGGAGTTCCGCCCCTCCTTCTCCTTGCTGCTGACTCCAAGGACATCCCTCCAGCCTATGTCATTCAAAGTTGAAACCCGAAATCTGGCCTTTCCTCTGCCCACTAGCACCCCATCAAAGCAGGGGTCCCAGTACCCCATGCCTGGCAGTCTTGCTCTCTGATGGTTTCCTTGAAGGTTCCTGCCTTAAATCCATACTTAATCTACAATTGGCCAGGTTTATTGACTTCTTATCAGCCATTGTTGTTAAGAGGATCAGTTCTCAAATCCAGCCTTCTTCTCTCCTACTTCCCCAGCAAAAAAACAGCAATGAACAAATCTCTTAAACTTTTATCTTTTGTTTAATCAATGAAAGGAACGATTCTAAAAACAAAACAGATTTGAAGCACATTCCTCTCCTTAAAGAATTCTGGGCACTCTAGTTGTAATTCTCAGCAACCATTAATAAACTACAGTGCACATTATTCTTGGGGGAAATAATGTACTTCGAATGTGCTTTGAAAGTATAGTGGGTACACAGACACCCCAGCCCAGAAAAGAGAGAGGACATAGGAGGAGGAGAGCTGCTTATGAAGAGGTTCCTTCCTGGCACTGAAGATATTTTGCCTTGTAGTTAGTAAGAGGTCAGTGCGCACAGTGCATCCTTTACATCAGGGATGGGCAACTTGTATCTGTTAAGGACTGTATATGGCTGAAACCTATCTATTTGTTCTCAAGCAGCTGGATTGAGGATCTCTGACCATGGTTGGATCCAGGGCTTTTTTCCAGCTGGAACTTGAAGGAACTCAGTTCTGGCACCTCTCAGGTGAGCACCATTGCCATTCTAAGTGAATGAAGGATGTGTTCATGGTGAGTTCTGGCACCTCTTTTTCTAGGAAAATGGCACTGGTTGTCTCTGCCTTGCAGTCACCAAAGTAGGCTATCCTCTTTGTCCAATCCAGGATCTTTATTTACACTACAGATTATAATCAGAATCAATATCAGCTCAACTCTACAAAGGAGCCCAAGCAGTTGCGATCGGTAGCGATCATTCCGGAACGCCAGTGAAAGCAGCTGGGAGCAAGGTGGGTTGCTGGCAACATCCCAGAGAAGAAAGGGCTGTTGCAGCCCTCTGCTTCCCGCAGCGCAGGAGCCAGCTCCTAGGGCCGAAGGGGCTTCATTCCCCCGCAGTAAAATATTGGAGGGGGCTGTCCCCCCCCCCCCGAAGTTGATGGGCATTGCCATTCAAATGGTGTGTGTGCACCATGTCATGTAGTTGCTTATGCAGGACGGGGCATACCTTGCCCACCCCCCATATTTTATTCCAGTTGGCACCCCTGCCCCGCAGCTGTTTTCCAACATCCTCAGGCCGGTTTGCAACCTCGGCCTCAACCAAGGAAGCCCTTCAGGCCAGGGACCGACTCCCTGTATGTACCGCCTGAGAAGGAAACTGGAGAGGAAGTTCAAGCTGAGATGCAAAGATCCTCAGCAGGATCCAGGGCAAGGTCTGCTGCCTGCCCGCCCTTAGTGGGGGCCATGAAGCCGGGATGCCGGGGAAGTGCTCTCTGCCCTCCCGTGGAAAGCAGCGGCTTTACCTCCGGCCAGGCGGGGCTTTCTTGTGGTGGCTCCTCTCGAAGAGGGCACCAGTGAAGAATGGTGCGGGTGAGGCCCTCCCCGCGGAGAGCCTGCGCCCTGTCTGGGCTGGCCTCGGGCTTCCCAGGCGGAGGCTGGGCGGGTTCCCGGGCTCCCCCGCCCCGGGGAGGCGCCCTAGCCGGCCTGCGGCAGGTAAAGGCCCTGGCCGGGCGGGCGGCGGCGGCGGCGGCGGCGCCAGAGGAGAGCGAGCGGGGCGCGCCATGCGGGAGACTTTCCTGCGCTGCCCTCTGCGCACGGCGGCCGGGCGGGTGCTGGTGTCTCTGCCGCCGGGCGGGGAGTTCCTGCTGGGCACGCCGGAGCTGGTGGGCCGGACGAGCGGTGAGTGGGCCCGCTTGGCGGAATCCTGGCCGGGGGTCCCGGCGGGGCGCCTTTCTCGAAGCCTGGGGCCGCTTGTCGGGGGTCTTGATTCTCCAGGGGTTTGAGAGGCGCCAGGTCTCTTCCTTAACACCATATATCTGAAGCAGAGCCCACACTCGCCCCAAAGTCTCCTCACAAAGCTACAGGTCCCAGAATTCAGGGGCGCGGGGGGGGTATGTGCTTTCACGAGAGGCTGCATGCATCCTGAGCAGTACAGTATACACTCTGGAGGGAGTCATCTTCACTGCATTTATGGGATTTACTTCTGAGTAGATTTACACAGGCTTGCTCTATCCCGTGTACTTGCCACCTTGTAAAGGTGAACGTTGGTAGTATTCCATAATTATGGCCTTTCCGGGGACTCTTGTTTGCTTTTAAATCACTTTCAATGCTGAAAACAACTCCACTGTGTGACAGTTGCCTGGGGGGAGGAGCAGTGTCGGATTTACTATAAGCTATACAAGCTATAGCTTGGGGCCTCCCAAAAATGTAAAGGGAAAAACAACTGGATGTACATTTCCAGAATATAATGGCTTTAGATACCTATTAGGTATCCATAAATTACCATTTAGCATATATTCAACACAAAAAACAGTGACAATTGTTGTGGACAAAGGACAGCTGGACATATAAAGGGCCCCATTACCTTCAGGAGCTCCTTAGGGCCACATCAAACCTAAATCCAGCCCTGGGGGGTGGGGGGTGGTTCTGCAGCCAAAGTCTGGCAGGAACATTTCCCACTCCTGCCTAGGTTTTGCAGAGAAAAGATGTGACATTGTTGACAAGGCTGTCCCATTTTAGGAACAGAGGAGCCTGCCTTGTATCATGTCAGACTCTTTGTCCATCCAGCCCGGTTGTGCCTCCTCTGACTGGCAGTGGCTCTCTGGGGCCTCAGACAGAAATGTATTTCCCATCATTTACTACCTAATCCTGCTTAAACTGCAGGGAAGGAAACCCGGGACCTTCTGCTTGTACTCTGCCCCTGGGCTGCACTCTCTTCCACCAGCAGACTTTGCTTCTCCCTCTTCCCCCAGTTGCATGGCAATAACTTCAGGGTTTGCCACATGCATATCCCGAAGGATAAGTAACCAGAGATGCTCGTAAGTAGAGGTCCCGCTGTATTCATGTTAACGCAGTACTAATTATTTTAATGTTTTATTAAGGGTAATGCTGTTCCATCCTCTGAATGCAGTTAGTCTTGGTTAATATTTGCCCTATCTTTCCGGGTAAACAAGACAAATTATCTCTCCACTCTTAGGACCAGAATAGTTTCCTCACTGAGGTTAATCATTTAACACAGGTGGATGTGGAAAGAACGCATGCAGACTTAGAGAATCACTAAAGGAACACAGGGCCAGAGGTGTGTGAGAGTAACTCCTATTTCCAGTGTTCATGTTGAGAGTGCTGTTTTGTTTTACAGCCAAAACAGCACGAACCATGCACGAGACAGGTGTCAGTAGACATGGGGAGGGTGGGACAATGTGAAGTTTATAGAAGTACCAAAACAATAAGAAACAAATAGAAAAAAGCAGTAGGGACCCCCAACAGCCCAGTGAGAACTGAGCTCCTTAGTGGCCATGGATTGCAGTCCAACTCGCAAGTGTATATGTGCAAATGTGTGGGAAATCAAGAGGACATTGAATGGAAGAGGTGGAATCCTGAACAGGGAGCACTCCACACACCCCAACATTTTGTTTTAGGTCTCACTTATACTTCCCTTTTTGAAAAGTCTTGTATGTGTGTGTTTGCAATGTGAGAGTGAAAAGCCCTTTTATACTGAGGAGTGAAAATTCATTTCAGTGGGGCTTGAGCAGGAGTAGATCCTGGTGGTTTTGTTTTATAAAGGAGTAAATCTAGTTGTCACCTGCATGCATATTGTATTTCATTGCTTATTATGTTTGTCAATAGATCCCTTTGTGTCCGATCCCTTTGTGTGCATGCTCTCTGGTGTGAGTCTCATGCTTTCTCACAACTATCCTCTAGGGCAGGATAGAAGTAATAATACTGAGAATTTTATAGAGAACATTTTAAGATTTCAAAGTGTGTTTGTTTTATCTGTAATCCTTTCACCAGCCCTGTAAGGCAGGTCAATATTATTCCCACCTTGCAGATGTAGAGGTGGCTGAGGCTGTGAAAAGAACGGATTGTCTAAGATCACCCAGTACATTTATTGAAAAGGGTGATAGCTGAATTGGGGAAGCTTTCTAGCTCACATCCTTATCCATTATATCAGTTAATTTTACTCATTTCACAGATTGGGAAAAGAAACTGAGAAAAATTCGGTTTACTTAGTACTATCTAGAGAGTTTGTGTAGCAGATCTTGGTCTATATAAAAAAGTATCTACTATAGCTTATGAACTTTCTCTGCAGATGTAAAGATTAAAGGTAAAGGTAAAGGGACCCCTGACCATTAGGTCCAGTCGTAGCCAACTCTGGGGTTGAGGCGCTCATCTCGCTTTATTGGCCGAGGGAGCCTGCGTACAGCTTCTGGGTCATGTGGCCAGCATGATTAAGCCGCTTCTGGCGAACCAGAGCAGTGCACGGAAACGCCGTTTACCTTCCCGCTGGAGCGGTACCTGTTGATCTACTTGCACTTTGAGGTGCTTTCCAACTGCTAGGTTGGCAGGAGCAGGGACCGAGGAACGGGAGCTCACCCCGTTTTGGGGATTCAAACCGCCAACCTTCTGATCAGCAAGCCCTAGGCTCAGTGGTTTAACCCACAGCGCCACCCGCATCCCTATGTAAAGATTATTTAGCTTTAAATTTTTTTATGGAGGATAGGGTTATGGACAGCTGTCATGATAGCTGAATACAGTCCCCATGTACAGAGTGTAGCAGGCGGGTAGGCAGCCTTCCCTGTCCTGATGCCCTCTAGTCGTTGTTGGACTACAACTCCCATCATCCTTGACCCTTGGTCAGGCAGAATGGGGCCAACATCTGGAGGATGCCAGGTTGGAGGAGAAGGCCACAGTCAAGGGTAAGTTGTTTCTTTCTTGCTCTGCAGTCTGCTTGTGAACTTCCAAGGCTGGGCACTGTTAGAGTGCTGGAATAGATCAACCCTTTAGTTTGATCTGTATTATATAGTTGTTATATATTTGGATGGGGAAGATGGATAGAAGGCTTCCAAGAGGTGAAACATCTATCTAAGCCATCTATAAACTGCCTGTTCCTCCTTAGTGGCATTTTGCTTTCAGTCTATGATTCTAAACTAGTTTCAGAATCAGAACAATGCATGCAATTGGAAGCTCTTGCAGAATAAGAAAACATTTTCTATCCTGTGTTGCAATTTTGTTTGTCCTCCGCTTCCCACCTTTGCGGAAGCTTTGCTCTAGGGTGGCTGAAGAACAAGCTGCGGGGTTCACTGCAGGAATTGCAGGGTCGGATTACTGCAGCATGGCTTTCACTAAAGGTCACGCTAGCCTCCTGGCAGGAATTTTTATTCACATCTGAGTGAAACAGGTCAGTTTACTAACATACAAAGGTCATTCAACTCACCTAACAAGGCTTGGAAGTTGGAATAGCTAGTTCCTCTCACTGTTGCTGGTATTCTTGCTATCCAGCAAGAAATCAGGACTGTTGGCATCCTTTGATCTTAACATTTCCCCTGTCCCTCCATTCTTAAGCAAGTGGCATCTGATTAGAAGATTGAACTGAAGAAGAACATTGTTTGTGAAAGAGCCAAGTGAGGTGGGACTGGGGTTAGCTCAGTGCTGCAAGTGATGGGGCCAGTGCTGGTGGCTTCCTGAAGGACCCCTTGACTCCTGTGGGGAAATGAAATGCTGCATATGTCAGCTGTTGCATTGAAGGGACCAGGTCTTCACAGACGGACCTCTTGGAAGTTCTCAGTGACACTGTGTGGTTCCTAAGGGCCCCCTCATTCTCTCAACCTGTCCCTGATATTTTGTTAGTCTTGAATCAGTAATAAAGTGCTCCCAGATTTATGTGGGTACTGAATCTCACAAACTTGTATACTGCATTATGACATTTATGATAATCTCACAGTATTTTGGGAGTTACATGTACTTACAGTTCAAAAACACATAATTATGAACAGTGCTTTTTTTCTAAAAAAATGTTTAGGGGTGCTCTCATTTTCCTACTCATATTGAAATACTGCCCCTCAATGAGGCCAAACTTAGGTTCACAAAATGTTTAGGAGTATGCATACCCCCGCATCCCCCCCGAAAAAAGCACTGATTATGAAAGTGAAGTATGAAACATGCATTTCATCTTGTTGGAAAATGGCGTGTGACTAGGCCAAGCTTGGAAATCTGGACAGTTGAGGTAATTAGTGCTTCTTTGTGAGAAGATCATATTATATCTGCGTTAAAGGAGGAGAATACCTGTCTTTTGAGTAATTACCTGCCTAGAGTCTAATGAATAAATATTGGTCCTCTTTTTGGTGCCCTCAGTGAAGCTGAGTGCAAGTCAGCTTACACAACCATTTGGGTGTGTAGCAGCCATGGGAGTGGGGCTTTGTCTTTCAGCTGCCTCAGTCTGGAGCGAGCTAGTCATGCACCACCAGGCAGTCATGCAAGGATCTCACTCACAAGAAGGGCATGATGGAGGTAACTCATCTTTTGTCTCTGACATACAGACACATGCCAGTAAAATGAAAGATCAATTTTTATTCATCAAGAATAACAGCCCTCAGTAAGCCAATCCTCCATGAACCTGTAAAATCCTCTTAAAAAGTTACCTGTGCTCGTAGTCCCGACTTTCATGACTCTCTGAGTGAGTGCCTGCCACGAGTGCTGCGGAGCCAGGCAGAATCAGAGGAGGAGGATTCAGAGCGGGGTGTGTGTGTGTGTGTGTGTGTGTGGCTGTAGACAGCTTGGGCAGGGATCAGAATGAGGGCCCTATCCCGGAGTTGCCAGATGTCCCAGAAGAGGAGGGAAGTCCACTGGGCCCATCTCTCCTTCGCCTCCAGAGACTCAGCCAGCTAATCAGTAGAGCCATCTGGGTCTGGGGTGGAGGAGGAGTCAGAGGGGTGGACGCGAGTCCTATAGCCAGCTTCCCTCCCCCCAGCCCCTTAGAAGTGCTAAGTTGCAGAGTCAATCTTCTTTTCATTTGGCACAAGAACCATGTGAGTGACAGGCTCTGCCTTGCTCCTTTAAAAGTTGAGCAGACGAGGCGGGTCAGGTGTTGGGTCAACTGTATTCTCGTGTCTGTTAACGTACCCCTGGCCTCAGGGGTGTTCCTAAGAGGTGCCCCCCTCTTTGCCCATCTCAGCCCTTGCCTTAGCTGCAGGGCTTCTGCCTGCCAGCTGTTTTGGCTGCCTGGGCCTCTTCTTAGCATTCAGCTCTCTGCTGTTCCTTTTATCAGAAGAAGAAGGAGTGCACTAAGCTGATGCTAGGGAGAGGCAGGCCTTCTTTCTACTACTACGGGGAAAGTGCTGCCGTGGACCTGGACCTGGGTTGACCTGGGTCTGGACCTGGGTTGACCTGAAAGCATGTTGGTTGTGCAGGCACTTCCCTTCCCTTGAGGCTGGTGCAGATCCCCTGGTGCAGAAGTGTAGGAAACTGAGGGGCTGGGTTTGGATGCTTGCCATTATGGGTGAGAGCTGGTGCTCAGAGGATGTGTCCCCTGACCATTCATATATATGTGGCTTTCTCGGTCACATCAGCTTCCTCTGCAACAAAGACGTCATCGGTGCCACAACTGGTTATTCTAGTTGGCCCCCTAGGGACTGTATAGGGTCTGAAAAGGTCCGGTTTGTTCAGTGCTTCATGGGTCTTTGACCAGAATTTTACTGGCCTGACCAGAGTTTTAAATTTCCTGGCCAGCTGAACTGGGAGCTATTAAAAGCCAGAAAAAAACAAGTGTCTGTGGCCCGATGGCTTGGCAGCTCTCCCTCCTGCTGTTGCTGATTTTTTACCTGCCTTCAAGTGTCAAGGCTGGCCTGAGGTGAAGGACAGGATGGCCTCTACTATTCCAAGTACAGAAGCAGATTGGATTGAGGGTTCAAGGTTATTTCAAAACTTGTGATCAGGGGTGTCAACTTGAATAAAATATTGGGGAGGCCAGGTAAGCCATGTCCCGCATAATCAACCACAAGACGCAGCACACATGCACCATTTGATTGACAATGCCCATCAACTGGGGGGCTTCAGATATTTTATTGGGGGGGGGGAGGGACCTCACCTTGGCCCCTAGCAGTTGGCTCCTATGCTTGTGATGGGACAGCATCCTCTTTAGGGCAACAGACTGGCATTACTACTACTACTACTCTTTTATTTTATGTTCAGTTTCATATATAGAAGGGGAAAAAGGGGGGAGAATACAAAATAGATAAAGCTGCAAAAATAAAAAAAAAATATCCAGGCCTAAAAACAAGAACATATTTCAAACAGAACAAATTGAAGTCATAATGTTTCAAGTAACACAACTGGGTTTACATTATCTAGAACGTTTTTGCTCCAATAAATTATAAACACACGCCATTTTTTACACACAAAATGTTACCTGGCCAACTGCCTTCTCACCATACACACAATATCCCAGATGTTAATTATCCATTCTCAGTCATTTTCTTCCAATTAGAACAGGCTTCCTCAACCTTGGCCCTCCAGATGTTTTGAGACTACAATTCCCATCAACCCTGACCACTAATCCTGCTAGCTAGGGATCAAGGGAGTTGTAGGCCAAAAACATCTGGAGGATCAAGGTTGAAGAAGCCTGAATTAGAGAACATAGTATATTTCTGTCAGCCATCAATAAATGCTGAGCTAATTCCCCACTGTGTGCCAGTACTGTACCTTTAATATAACTGAGTAACACCCACCTAGTGGATGCAGGGCAGCCTGTATGGCCCACACATCTGTCCTGCAGCTCCTTCTGCCTGAAGGAGCATCCTCCTCCTCTCCCTCCGCATGGTTTGTGGATTGGACTCTCAGAGGGAAAGGGCAAATAAATGAACAGAGATGGTGAGCAGGGGGCCCCAGCATCCAGGAGCCAGTATACAGTCCTGGCATTCCTCCCGACAAGGGTGTTCTAACCTCCTCTCCCCCAGTGTGAAGAAGGACAACAAGGACAACTGTGAAGTGCTTTGCAATGGCCAGCCAAGACCCAGGAGAGTAAGTGGGCAGCTGAGTCATACAGCGCAGGAATTTTGCATATCTGCAATCAAGAGCCCTTTGCTTGCCTCTGAAAGAGAGTGAGAGAAGGTGGAGTCAAGGGTTTCTAACCCATCAGCACTTGTTCAGCACCTGCGCCCTCTGAATAATGGATCTCCCCTCTCCCCAGGTCAGGGATTCTGCATTCCAGTCCAGGAGATGGTTGCTGTAAGGCTTGGTGCTACCAGGGATGGAGAGGAGGATCCTCCAGAGGCTGAAAGCTGTTTCACAGGTGAGCAGGATAGAACAAAGCAGGAAGCTTCATAGGAACCTGTATGGGCAGTTTTATGCTACAGAACATGGCATGCAGCCTCAAAAGTCAAATATGAAAGTTACTGTAAATCTTGGGTGGAAGGTCCAAACAGTAGAGCTCACTTCTGGGGGTACAATACTTTTGGTGGCATTCGGAATAAGGTTGGATGGACATCAGTCAGGGATTCTTTATGTGGGACATGCTATTTCTGGTGAAGAGCTATTGGACTAAGATGGGCCTTTTGCCACCTTTCCTCCCCTGTGTGCTCTCCAAATTGGCTCGCTGGGTTTTAGCACTGTGCTTAGTTCCTCCCCAGATGTCCCATTGCTCTCTTCCTAGTTTCATGGTACAGTGAATTTTATAACTGCTATGAACTCCTGACCACCTGATCATTGATTTAAATTTAAGTTTCTAGTCTTTATGGCAGAAAAGGGGGGGGGGAGAAAAAGTTATATTTCTGCCACATAGAAGAGGGTGGAGCCTTGATTAACCATAGAAATAGAACTTCTTTACTCTAGGCATCTTCCTGGTTCTACTGTTTCCAGTCCTTGACTCTCAGTCCTGTCAGGGAGGAGGATTGAGAGGTAATCTCAATAGCCACCCTCTTTCTTCAGACTGTGAGCAGGAGTTATACAACTGTGTATACATATGGAAGTAAATGTATATACTATTTCCAATGAAAAATGTGTAATGAATGCCCCAGGCCATCTCCTGTATGCGCCACACCTTTTAAGGGTTGCGCCACAGGAGGCCTCTCCCTCTTGGCTTCTCAAGATCCCACACCAGCCCTCTTGTCCATCAGTCTTTCTCACTTCCTCTTTCCCCCTCTTCCAGTTTTCTTTGTGCAGCGGGAGAAGCAAGAGTGTTGGCGCCTGGGGATGCTGGAGTTCACTGCCCCTCCCAAGTCTCAGCTGGCAGTACGCTGGGTCAATGCCCTACAGAGCTGGATCCATCACCACGGTCAGTTCTCAGGTGGCAGTGGAAAGGGCTGGTAAAGATGGTGCTTTCCTTTTGGATGGAAGCCTTCAGAGACAGACCATGGTTGCCATGACAGAGGAAGGTTGCTCCTGAGAGCAGGGCTTAGTTTTCAACAGGAGAGAGACAGCAAGGCCCTCCCAGTGTGTGTGTTTGGTGGGGACTGTGGTAAGTAAGTAGCAAGGGAAGGTGGGCTTTCTTCATGAGCTTGAAGGCACTCATGATGGCTATTTCAGCTAGTTCAAGGCTGGACTCTGGTTTGGATTATTAAGTTTTGGAGTTTTGACAGTGACTTTAAATCAAGTCTCCACCCCTCCCATGTATGGACACTGAGCAAAATGATAGCTAAATGGGACCCCATGCTCAGAAGTGATGTACCTCTGAATACCACTTTTTGGGTGGTGGGAGGCAACATTGGGGAAGGCAGTTTTTTCATGACTTGAATGTGTGCTTCACAGAGGAAGCTGATTGATGCTTGGCTAGATGGGCCTGATGTTTTTCCTCCCTCTGCTTCAGGAGTTACACGGCCCAAGAGCCTCCTTGTCTTCATCAACCCGGTTGGGGGACGCGGGCGAGCAGTGGAAATCTACCAGGGTCAGGTGGCCCCACTCTTCACCCTTGCCGGGATCCATGTTCAAGTTCTGGGTAAGGCCCATTTCTCTTGACCATCACTCTCCTGCTTTCTCTGTGACACGGGCCTCTTCCCCATTCCCAGTGACATGACCTCTGACCTTCTCTGCACCTTCCCAGAGACCTGCCATGCCAACGAGGCTCGTGACTACATCCTGCAGCAAGACCTCAGTGACTTTGATGGGTAAGGACCGGCCAGCATCTAGGATTGTCACTTTTGCATCACCAAAAAAGAGGACAAAGGAGAACATATATGTTAATTTATACGTATTGATTTAGAAATACTTACAGCTTAAATAGAAATATCAAGGGAAGACTGTGACATGGTGATCTGTTTGCCTGTTCAATCTGCTATCTAGATACTAAATGCCCTCCCCATTAGCATTCTTTATATTGCCAGACTTGGAATGGAGAGCTCTTCAAATTGAGGACTTTCCTCTGTAAAAAAGGACACATTGTCACCTTACCTGCATCTATGTTCCCTGCTGTCTTGATGACCCTCAGCATCCTGCTTTGAGACCCCACTAGAAGTCCACCGACATTGTGTGCTCAGATCAATCTAGGGCATAAATTCTATGGAATCCAAAGCAATCTGCTACAAGTGGGCACCAGGAGTCCTGCAGAAAAGTGCTTGCAGGCCTTGTGATGGGTCAGACTGGGCCGTGGCTGTGCTTCTGGGGTGTGTCTGTAGCTGTGCTGGGCCCCAACAGAGGCCCTACAGCAGATGGGGAGGTCCTGGCCCAGTCGCTGCTGCAGCGCTGAAGAGCGGAGGCCAAACAGCGCACACAACCATGATATTTTTTCAAATATTCTACAAAATATTTCCATTCTTCAAGTTTTTTTCCTATTCTGTTCTTTAATTCTCACATCTAGCCCTCTCAGCACATTCCATTATTTTCATAAGCCATTCTTCTTTCCAGTTTTGTTCATAGACTATTCTTGCCGCCGTCGTAACATACATAAACAAATTAAACAATTCCTTCAGAAGCTCTGATCCAATTAAACCTAACAGAAAGGCCTCAGGTTTATTGGAAATCATCACTTTAAACATTAAAAAAAACTCATTATACTTCATTTCCCAATAACCTTTCGCCTTTCTGCAGGTCCACCACATATGAAAAAAGTTCCACCCAACATTTTACACTTCCAAAAGGTACTTGATTTACTCTTATACATTTTTGCAATCTTATATGGTGTTAAGTACCATCTATACACCATCTTCATATCATTCTTTTTTAATGTATAATAGACTGTAAATTTTAACTTAACTTTCCAGAGCTTCTCCCAAGTGGCAAATTCTATATTATAGCCCTGGTCTCTTGCTATTGTATCATAACTACCGTATTTTTCGCTCTATAACACGCACCTGACCATAACACTCACATAGTTTTTAGAGCAGGAAAACAAGAAAAAAAATATTCTGAATCAAATGTTGTACTAAACTATTTAATAAACAACCAGTATATCAGAATCATATTACAACCATGTAAAGTGAACAGCAGTCAGCAGTGGCATTAAGAAACACCATCACTGTCATTAACAAATGAAGAGAGAATTTAGCTGCAGTCTGTGAGATGGGGCTTACCTGTACCTGCCCCCCCCCCAATATTTTATTGAAGTTGGAAGAGGGAGGGAGGGAAGGAAGAGAGATGGAGAGCTCACATTTGTCCTAGGCAAAGCAGCCAACTCCTATGGGCCTAGGTGTCTTCACCCCCCATTAAATATTTGAGGGAGTCATCCCCCACCCCCCATTGTGGTATGTGAGGTGGGGCTTACCTGGCCGCCCCCCAATATTTTTTGAAGTTGGAAGAAGGAGGGAGGGAAGGAGGAAGAGAGAGGGGGAGCTCACATTTGTGCAGCTGCCTTGCCTCGCTGGAACCGGAGCAAAAAAGAGGAGGAGACGCAGGGACACGAGCCTTGTAAGCCGCTTTGCTTGAATTTACCAGTGAGGTGCTGGGGGAGGGACGGAAGGGGATGCCCTCTTTGTCCCTCCTTCCGGCTTATTGTAAAGAAAGCAGAGTAAGAGCCGCTTACATGCGTGTAAGCGGCTCTCCCTTTCCTTGAATTACAGTCAGCCCATCAGACTATAAAGTCACCTCGCCAAAAAGCCGTAGAGCAGGCAGATACGCTGCGCGCAGCTCTTGCCGGCTTCCCAGCCAGCCGGAGGAAGAGAGGCTGCCTCCCTTCTCCCACCTCACCAAAAAGCCATAGAGCAGGCAGACACACTGCGTGCACCTCTTGTTTGAAAGAGTGCTGAGCAGAGTGTCAGCGGCTCTTGCCGGCTTCCCAGCCAGTCGGAGGAAGGGAGGTTGCTTTCCTTCTCCCGCCTCGCCAAAAAGCCAGCAAGAGGGCTCCTCCCGCCTGCATTCGCTCCATAAGGCGCACACACATTTCCCTTTACCTTTTGGGGGGGTGCGTGTTATGGTGCGAAAAATACGGTACTTTAACCATTTTGTCCATTTTGTCCTTTCCATTCCAGAAGTATTCTATACATTTTCAAAATTTACTTCTCATATTCGTCTAACAAATTCATATCAAACTCTGATCTACAGTAAGAAAACCCATTCACCAAGTCCTTTACAAGTAGTTCATTCACTTGGTAATATTTAAAAGAGTCAGATACCCATTCCCGAATACAATCTATTTTTTTTTGTAACTTGATACATTTCCCCCCATATTTAATCCCATCATGGACCTTTCCACTTGGGAACCTCAAGGGAGGTTCTCTCAGTGCCTAATGTAATCTACCTCATTTCTCCACAGACTGGTGAGTGTGGGGGGCGATGGCACCTTTAATGAGCTAATGCACGCCTTGATTGACCGGACACAGCAAAAAGCAGGGGGATCAGAGAATGACATTGATGCAGAACTCTTGTCCCCAAGGCTTCGTATTGGCATCATACCCGCAGGTGAGTATATGGGCCCTGGGTGCTTGAGAGAAAGAGTGTTTGGGATTGAGGACCTGCAAGGTAGCAAGCACCTGTGGGCACCCAGTGCTTTCAGATGGTCCTCTTAGTGCCTGCCAGGCCACTATGAGAACAGGATACTTCAATACGACAGGCCTTGGGTCTGATCCAGCAGGCCTCTTATGTTCTTGAGATTTAGCTCTGCTCATCTGAAGATGCAGGGAAAAGTAAGGTGCATTTCCAGGGGTTTTTTTGCAGCCAGGTAATGTCATAATAACTATTTAAATAATAATAATTTATTATTTGTACCCCGCCCATCTGACTGGGTTGCCCCAGCCAATCTGGGTAGTAATCTGTTGCTCTCCATTTCTACCTCAGGTTCTACAGACTGCATCTGTTTTGCAACTGTGGGAACAAATGACCCCATCACCTCTGCTCTGCACATTGTTATAGGTACTGATTTTCCCTTTCCTACCCATTTATTCCATGGCTCATGACATTCAACTCTTGAGACAATGGAGTATTTACATATCTCAGCTGGGAACTTTGCAAGGCTGGGTTGGGGAAGCAAATCCTCCCTGGTCTGAGGAACCCCCCACCCCCACTAAAGTAAAAAAGTTGGGAGGCCAACTGATAGATGAGCAGAGTTGGCACAGAAGGACATCCTTTTGGAGGCCGTTAGCTTTTGCAAATGATACTGTAGATCTCGGCTACTGTGTTCCAGTAATTGCTGAGGAATGCAAACAGAGATCTGTACCTTGGTAAATATATATGCTACTTCTTTTTCTGATGGAAAATGTGTAGCAGAACTCAATACTGGGTGGTGGAACTTCTATATAATCTGGAACCTTAGTGGCCTTTTCCTGTTTTCTAGGGGACAGCCAACCTATGGATGTCTGCAGCATTTGGCACAATGGAAAGCTTCTACGTTATTCAGTCTCACTGGTTGGCTATGGCTTCTATGGTGATGTAGTGAGCACCAGTGAGAAGTACCGCTGGATGGGCCCGATGCGCTACACCTATGCCGGTATGCAGGGGAAGGAATCCACTGTGATAAGCTGAACAATGATGCCCAACTGACAGAGGGAGCATGTACACTGAATATCTGGACCAGCCCACTAAAATCCTCTTTCCTAGGCTTGACAGGGCTCTCTGGCTTGGGGCAGGGGACAAGGATAGGCCTGGCCAGCAGTAAGATGAACCTTATTGCCTTATAACCAGGGAATGTTGTACCTTTGAATTACGAGTGAGTGTCTTCGTTTATGAAATAGTGTTAACTGTAAACTTGATGGATAATTTGCATGATGTAAATTTGGCCCCTTTTTTGAGGTACATTTTCTCTTTATAGTTGTACTTATTGGTTTTCCCATAGTAGTTTGCACAGCCTCCCGTTGGCATGAAGAGTGGCAGGAGAACCATGGCCGAGACAAGGAAGCTACCCAGAAGCGGCAGCCTCATAATTTACAGTGAAGAATTGGTCTAGCCAGAGGAGCAGCATGGGAAGGTGGAAGGCGGCCGGAAGTGGCAGCCAGCTAACCTGGTAATCTGCCCCTGGTCCAGATAAGGCAGTGGTGGCAGCACCAGAAGATCTCAGGCCGGCCAGCCAGCACTTCCGGCCTCCTTCCTTTGCTCCTCCTCTTGCCAGACCAACTCTTCCTCCCACTCGGCTGTGGTGGCAGCATGAGGTGGGAAGGTAAGAGGTTCGTTTGGGGAGGAGGATGTGGGGTTTGGCAAGGTCTAGGGGGAGTGAGGGTGGGAGGATTGGTGACAACCAAGGAGCTGGGGGAAGGCAGGGTTGGCAAGCAAAGCAAGCCAGAGCGCAGTCCTTGGTATTTAAATAAAAGCTGAGATTGTTAGGATTAGGTATCAGTTATTAGAATCTGCTCTGAAGGGCTGCCAGCCAGTTGAAAGCAACTCTCTCCCTGTTCTCTCCAGGAGCCAAGGCACTGCTGAGGAACTGCAGCTATGAAGGCACCGTGGAATTCCAAGTGGCCAGAACGGAGGAGGCAAACCCAAGGGACCAAACACGCTGCCGCTCTGGGTAGGTGGAAGTTTGACAGTTGGCGTTACAATAAAGACAAAGGCTGGGGTCAGAAGTGACACCACCCCTCTCTTTCAGGTGTGCGGTCTGTTCAGAGTCTAGCAAACAGTTACCGGCTGGGACAGAGGAAGAAAACCTTTCAGAACCAGAGCAGCACAAAGGTGAGAGAACTAGATATTGAGACTGATACGCAGCCGACTGGCTGGGGCTCGATCTGGCTCAGTTCCTTCATATGCTTTTCTGTAAGCTGAAGCTGCTCTAGGGTCTGGGCATAGAAGCCATGTGCCCTGGATCCTACTTTATTTTTAAAATTCAGCTGCACCCTCTTGTACCAGAACCATATATGAGTGTGACATGCAAATGTGAGACAATGATCTGATTATATGCATGAATTCCATAGGATTGAACAGATTAGAAATTCTAACGTGACTGTCACATGTTTTTAAGCAGAATTCAGTCCTTCTTTGCCCCCCCCCCATTTTAAATGTATGAACAGCATCTACAGACGCCTCAGAAACAAGAGAGACATTTGCCCTGATCCAGCACGCTTCCATGAGTGGGCCATGTATCATGTGTGAATGTGTATGTTGCCCCTATTGGAACAGGCTCTGTGCATCTCGAGACACATCCATGGCTGCCGCTAGTTGTATGCAACTAGAGCTGGCTTTGGAATTTTCCTGAGAATATCCACTTACCTTTTAAAAATATTTTTTAAAAACAAGTTTCTTCTCCTTATAACTGCAAAGTATATAAAATAATTTACATAGTGCTTTTAAATATTCAAGGCACTTCACTTACTCAGGTGTTGCCAGCCTTTTTGGGCTTGTGGGCACATTTGCAAAATAGAGAAACCACACACATACCACTAATAAGCACACACTGCAAACTATTCTATGGGATACCTAATTTTTTTGAAGATGGGGGGGAGAGACCCTGCAGGTGCCAGGGATGGCCTATGAACGGTGTATTCAGGGGCTGCCAGTATATCAGTTGCAGGTGTACATATGCAAAATATTTATACCCACTTTTTATCCAGAAAGGTTCCTAGAACAGCATCCAGATAAATAAAAAACAGTATACAGTGGTACCTCGGGTTACATACGCTTCAGGTTACATACGCTTCAGGTTACAGACTCTGCTAACCCAGAAATTGTACCTCGGGTTAAGAACTTTGCTTCAGGTTGAGAACAGAAATCGTGCTCCGGCAGCAGCGGGAGGCCCCATTAGCTAAAGTGGTGCTTCAGGTTAACAGTTTCAGGTTAAGAACGGACCTCCGGAATGAATTAAGTACTTAACCCGAGGTACCACTGTACTAAGCTATGCCAGCTCTTTGCATTTTCAAAGTGCACAAGCAGTGACTGCTCAAGAATTCAAGCTAGAAAGGTGACTGAATATGAAAAATGCAGCACTAGAAAATGTGCACATAAGCATAACTACAACAGTGAGGCTTTCAAGGTAAAAAAAAAGTTGGCTTTGCTGAGTACAGAGTTTTGCATTTTTTTCCTGTTTTGGAATATGCAGACACCAGATGATGCCCCAAGCCCCATGTCTCACTGCAGTGGCCAGATCTGATTCAAGAAAGTGTTCTTTTTCATCTTGCATCTGAGCAGAAAGCTTTATCATAGCTACATTCCCCACTTCTAAGCCAGAAGCTGCGCATGCCCAGGAACTGTCTGCCATGCCACTGTTAAAAAGCCAAAGCCTTTTTCTCATAAAAGGAATGTCATGGCAAAATGCATATGGCATTCTATCCCTGATTCATATCTCATCTCAACCACAAATTTGTCGGGTGGCCTTAAGCAAGCTGCCATCTCCTGCATTCAGGCATCCTACTTACAGCTGGGAAGACTAGTTCTGGCCTACTTTACAAAATTGTAAAAATTACTCAGCTAATGAATGTTTAAAGCACTGTGGATCCTAAAGTACTATAGAGGTGCTATTACTACACACAGAATAGTCTTCTAGGGCTGTGTATCTACCCTGTTAATTTCCAGGCTCGGGTGTCACAGCACTGTGAGGCAAGGAATGGCCAGAGTGAGGAATCAACTCTTTATTGTCAAAAGTACACTTACAATTTAGGGAAAGGCAGGTCTATCAGTCCTACGTCTCTCAGCTCTTCCTAGGTGTGCACCCAATGAGGCAGTTGGCACAACAGAGAAGCTCCACTCCCAACCTCAGTTTATGGATCTTCCCCACCTGAGCTGCACATAGGCAGGTGAAGACTCCACCTGCAGGCAACCTGATTTTGCTTCTCCCTCTTCAATCCTCTCCTGGTGCTGGGAGCCAGTGGAGCAGGAGGAGGAGGTGTGGAAGCCCTGGACTCTACACTAGCCTAACTGTTCTCCCCCTCCTCTTGCAACTGTTCTACGTTCTCGGTTCCTGCAGCTCCTGCTGCCTCTGCCTCTCTGCCTCCCTCAGATCCCTTCTTCCCAGTCAGTCTCCAACACCCCTTCCTCTGGTGTGTACTCATCAGAATCCAGCCAGTCCCTCACATCAGGATAGACTATAGAGACCCTGCACTGGCCACCTCACTTGCAACAACCACTTAGAGGTTTTCTCTACAATCAAGCAGTGTATAAATTTTATGAAACCAAAAAAATGTCTTCTATTTCATTGGGAGACCTCAAAAGCAAACCAGTAACTCCCACCCAGATTGTCATCTCCCTGTTCCTGCAAATGCAGTGGCACTGAATTAAACTGGTTTGAGATGCTTGCCTTTGTTTGGGGCAGAATGTGGTAGAGAAACACAGAAGGGAATCCCTAGGTCTGAGCAACGTTTGCAACCTCAAATAGGAATTAATTGCCTGCTCTAGGCTAATGGGCATTGTTGCTGTCTTTAATCTCCCACCATCAGGATTTACTGAGCCAGGGCTTAGCCCTGGAAATAGCTTTTAAATGCCAGTGCTTGGCTGCAGCACATGGGAAGTTGTATTGAAGGAGGGAGTTCCTCACCTTCACTTCCACGTAACAAATTGCTGCTGCCACAGGGCTGTCAGGAGTCTTGCACCCGGGAAAAAACATTTTTCAAACAGGCTGTCCAAGCTGCCCAGGATAACCTCTCTCCTCTTCCACCTCCTCCCCCCCCCCAGATGGCGAATGGCAGCAGGTTCAGGGTCGTTTCCTGGCTGTCAACTTGACCTCCATGAGCAGTGCCTGCCCCAAGAGCCCGGAGGGACTCTCCCCCTGTGCTCATCTGGCTGACGGTACAGCAGACCTCATCCTGGTGCATGAATGCTCAGCACTCTCCTTCTTGCGACACTTGACTCGGCACACCAATGGCTCAGACCAGGTATGGAGAAAGCCTCTGCCTCCCCACAGAGCTGGGGGCAGAACCTAAAAGGCCAAGCCTCTTTCTGACAACTGCAATTCTGCCCATGTAGATGAAAACTCAAATATGCGTGAAACTCAGCTCCCTGTACAACAGGCATATATTTATTCCTGCTCCAGAACTGAAGCCCCCTATTTGACACTGGAGGTCAACTCTTTATTTTAGAATTTGAACATCTTTTGAGGCAAAGTCTGAAGCCCCTGGTGGAGGGTTGAAGTGGTAGGGGGAGGTACAGAAAGGGGCTTGAACACATTAAACTGGCAGTTGGAAATCCTGAACACAGGAGACTTTTCTAGGCAACTACATTGTCCTGTCTTAAGCAAAATGAGGAGAACTATGCCGTCAGATGCAGGGGACACCTTTCCTTAACAGCCCCTCCGACGATTTCTTTCATCTTGGGCCCCTGGGCCCTCCTCTCTTTAGTTAACAAAGAGCATCCTCCATGCATTTAAATGGTGAGGCCACAGAGGCTTAGAGTGGGGCTCTGCTCTCGTGGCACCACTGCCCAACTTAGGTTGGTAAACACACAGGATTGGGCCTTTTCCATAGTGGCACAAAGGCTTTGGATCATCTTCATCCGAAAGGTATGCTTGGTCCCTTTCCATCTATTGATAGGGGATGGTGAAAGCTAGTTTTCTTCTGGGCTTCTAAAAGTGGCTGAATTGTTCCGGTCATGATACTCCTCCTCCTGGTATTTTATTCCACTGCAGTGCCTTGAATTGACACGATTGTGTTTTCTTACATATTCTGCATGTAACTTTGGGGGCTCCCAGGTCAAAAGGCAGTATTTTAAATAAGGGGAGGAGCCACAGTTCTCCTTCAGAGCATGTGCTTTTGCACGAAGAGCAGTCAAGGAAATGCAAAAAGCATATTGGGTATTAAGAGTTGCAAAATGCCACCTGTCTACGTTCTTGGACAGGCTACTACTGCTAGTCGACAGCCTTAGGCTGAAAGGACCTCTGCTCTGACAGTAGAAGGCAGCTTCATACAGAGCTCTGCTTAAAGCCGCAAACACTTGAGTTAGAGCTGGAGAGGTTAAGACTCCTTCTGGTAATGCCATGAGCTTCAGAGATCAGAGGGTTTAAAAACCCCTTAAATGTGCTTTTCAGTTTGACCTGCCTTTTGTGAGTGTGTACCGGGTCCGGGCTATTCGTTTCACCTCAAAAGTGGAAGACCATAAGGATGGAGAACCGGTTGTACAACGACGCAAGGGGCTGTGTGGGGGGCAGTGTCAGGAAGAACCACCCACCAGCTGCTGGACCTGCGATGGTGAGACCCTGCAACATACCGACATCAGCGTCAGGTAGGTTGTCTGGATAGTTGTGGCAAATATTCTTCTGCTGTACTTCAGGGGCTCAGGTGTTAGTAGAGCAATCTACAGACAGCACTTAGAAGCTTGTGAAAGAGACTTCAGTGCCACACAGACATAGACAGAAGTATCAGAGCAACAGCATGTGATCAGAACTGGGACTGGCAGGTTAAGAACCAGTAAAAAGCTTACTGTGGCCCTTCCACAAAGTGTAGCCTAGTCAAGCACAGGCATGGAAGTTGCCAAAGATGCTTAGGGAACTGGACAGCTGTTATACAGCAGTCTTCCTTCTATCCGGTAGTGCCGCTAATGACTCTCTCTGCCCTTCTCTCCCAGAGTCCATGGGAGGCTCATCCATCTCTTTGCCCGTGGCATCGAACAGGCACCCTGTAGGCTTCCTGCTGATCCAAGAGAGGGTCAAAGCTAAATGACAGCGCAGCCTGTGACTGCTGCTAAGAATCTACAAGGCCATGAACACAGAGGAGCCACTGCCTAAGCATTGTTGGGGAATAAATTCCAGACTGGTATCTCAGGACCTGTGAGTAACAGTGCAGCTCCAGAGAAACTGTAACCAGACACTGCTGCTCCACGTTCAGATTTGCAGAAGTGCCACCTCACACCTGCCATTTTAGGGTGCTGACCCTAGAGAGGAACAGCCCATGGTGCTCTGCCTGCTGTGCAGATACCAAACCCCAGTGTCCTCCTGGTCCTCATCACACTGGAAATCAGTTGGCAGAATAAATGAATATCTAGCTCAGCAGTGCAGAACCTCTGACCTGTGGGCCAAATTTAGTCTGCCAGGCTACTTCCCCCAAACCACTCCTCCCTGCCCATTTGTTCATAGACAGAAGTGGTTTTTGAGTCCCCCCTCAAGCCACTTGAAATAAATGCAAGGACCACGGTCTCCTTGTAACAACTTTCATTTACATACCAGCATCATATATAAAACTGAGAAGCAGTTTGAACAGGAATGTAACAAGTAATGCAGCAAAAGCAGAGCTAGTGCAATTGAAAGAGCAGCTTGTGTAGCTGGAACAGAGGGCAAGGGTGCTGCCTCCTGCACCACCACAGACTTCCCCCATAGAAAGGAGCAGAAGTTGAAATGGGCACCTGGCCCAGCTGCAGCCACAGTCTAAGAAGGAGCGAAACTAAAGAGGCAGAGCCCACAGTAGAGAAGATGACAAGGCCCACACCTAAGCGCAGTGGATGCTGGAGGGGTGCACTGGTGTCCAGGGCCAGCAGGTGGTCCTAGGACAAAAACCACCGTTTTTCAGGTGTAGGCAGCAGGAGCTGGGGCAGAGATCCCTTTGCCCAGCCTGGTCAGCTTGGCTTCTGCAGCGAAGAGCAGCTGTCACCCCTTCATACAAGCTACCCAGTTGGAGGTCACAGCTTGTGAGGATTGACCCAGCGGTAGGTGCCTTCATACTGGAACCCCACCTTCTTCATCAGCTCATCTGCCTCTGCGGGGCCACGGCTAGAAAGGAAAAAGGCTCCCCGTTAGTAATTCTGGTTGCAGCCAATAGCGAAACCATCTGAATGCTTTAGACTGAAGTATACTCTGTGGATATGAGCTGAATTTGTAATGTAAAAGTTTTTCTAAGTTGGTTTTGATGCTGTATGGATGAATGCATACAAGACTTAACATATACAGTGGTACCTCTGGTTGCGGACGGGATCCATTCCAGAGGTCCGGCCGGATCCCGAGTTTTTCGCAACTGGAGAGACTGCTTCTGCTCAAGCATGTGGGGGAAAAACCCAGAAATATACTTATGGGTTTGCCACTTACGTATCCTGAAGTTTACGTAACCAGAAGGCTACATAAGCAGAGGTACGACTGCATACATGTATTTGTCTTGGAAGACACTTTGTGTTTGGTAGTTGTTTTTACAATTTTCAATGAAGTTGGTTTAAAAAAAAGTAATGCTGGATGCAGTTGTTTCCTACTCAAGGCTTTTTACATCTATAGGCCAAATGCAATTGTCTCCATCCCTGAAACAGCATAGCAGCAGCATTGATTATGATCAAAAGTTGACCAGAATCCTTTTTTTACCATTTTCAGACATTTATGTATTGTATATAAGTACTAAACACTACCCCCCTTTGCTGATTTCTGGGTATCATACTCACTTAGATTAGCACCCCACATCAACTATAAACATGCACTCAAAACACAGGTAAGTGTAGAAGTGCAGATGGCAGCTCCCTTTCCCAATGTACTAATTAACTGAGCCAGGATGCCTGGAATTCTGCCATTGGACCAGCTCTCCTCCCGAGCCGCTGTGCAGTTCCCACCATCTGGGGATCACTGGGGATCCAAGAAAGTTCACCATGCACTACAATCACATTGGAGAATATATTTTCCGCTCAGTTCTGCTCAATTTGTAGGGTGGACAGTACCACAAGGCCACTCCCAGAGCCCCCACCGCACCCCACTACCCAAAGCCCAGTAAGCAAGGAAAGCCTGCTGGGGGTGCAAAAGGGAAGGGAGAAGAAATAAATGGACAGGAGGGAATGGTGGGGGTTCCCCACTCTTTATTTATTTATTCCTCCTCCCGTGTAAAGTTGTGGTAGTGTAAGTAAAGTGAATGTAAGTCGCAGGCCCACTGTTTCTATTAACCAAATAAAATTAATTTGGTCAAATCTTAACACAAACTGGATTAATTTTAATCAAGTTCATATATAATAAAAGAGCATATAAAAACACAAGCTCTGAGACCCTTAACACAATTTGAAAAATTTATTCCGCATAATGGGTAGAGGGGAGAAAGGATTAGTTTCTAAATAGTACCTTATTATTGCTTAATGTAACTTAAAGACCTACGGAACCCCTTAAAAAGGTAGGGGAACTATATATTGGCACACAAATTGGAATAAAATATTGGCACACAAGGATTGGAATAAAATATGGGTGTTGTGACCTATATTGTGAGGGATATCACACTCCTTGCAAATGTCAAAAATGTTTTGTTTTGTGTTACCTGATGGTTGGAGGGGTTGCAATAAGCTTGGTACATTTATGTTGGAAATGTAAATTGATGCAAGGTTTTTGGAATTTAATTTTGACAGAAATGATTAATATTACTAACGAAACTATTGTTGTCCAAAAGTAACATTACTGAATATTTTTATGATACTGATGTAGATATATTGTCAAAAGAATTGGTCTTATATGTTGTTGGCAGCTCGAATAATAATTGCAACTCAATGGAAAACAGTTCCAAACCTTACACTGGATTCTGTTATCACTCATTCTGGAATGTGGCCATAATGGAGGGAATTATCCATCACTTCAGATTTCAGCAGGGAATGGAACCTCCAGACACTTTTAATATGATTTTGCCTTCTATACAGTAAAAACATGGTTTTCAAGATGACCCTCGTCACAAACCTGGCAAATCTGGAACTAGATTGATAACACTAATAGTTTTCACTTAGACTCTGTTATCTTAACCCAGAATGTGCAACTGTCCTCATTCTACATATCTATTATATAGTTTTGTTCTCCATGTGTTAATTTTCACATGTTGTTACAATTCCTCTGTCTGTTTTATATACATGTAAGACAAAGTTTTTTTTAATTATCTTTTTTTACCAAAAAAGAGAGAAAGCCTGAGGGCCATGGCCAAGCCCATTAAGGAGGAGGGGGCAGGAAAGGGGTTTAGGGGGCCCATATGCAGTGTTCGAAACACCCATTGTTCTAGGCACATTTTGCAACAGGGAATTTCGTTAGCAGTTTCTGAGCTCTGGGCGCAGTACTGTGCCTGAGATTTCAGATTAAAACTGCAGAGTGGAAGGAAAGGAGGACATTTTTCTGCCTCCCCACTTCCAGCTACTCTCTTAAGGACTGGAGAGGACACCCTGTGAGGGGGGTGGGCAGGGGAAGGACTAGACCATGTAAAACATGAACACAATATTTTAGCTGCAGTTCATTCATTTTCAGCTTTGAATTCTTGTTATAAAGAAAAAAATGTGCCTAGGCATTCCGTTGTTGCGCCCATAACCGAGGTTTAAGGTGCCATTTCACTCCTAGCCTTCATGTCTGAGTTTCTAACACTGCCCTTATGCACATGTTGACAGCCATCACCAAGATCTCCCCTTGAAACCTCAGAGTGATGGGCCAACCATAGAGCCTGTTTTAAAAGAAACGACTGCCATATGTATTTAAGCTCACCCCACTCTCTCTCCCAAACTCACCTGCCGTAGCAATAGGGAATTGGTTTGGTTTTCTCTGCCTCAGTCTTATGGAGCAGCGGAGTGAAAATTCGCCAGGCCTCACGCAGCTCATCACTGTGGGGAGGAGGAAAGTGCTGGGTTGGGTTACTGAACTCTGAAGAAGTTATCTACCTTAAACTGCAGTAGTAGTTCAAATATTTTTCAGTCATCATGTCTTGTGCCAGAGGTGGGAAACCCGGTCCAGGGGCCTCATTAGATCTGGCAGGGGTCCTCATTTGGCACATGAGGTCCTCTTACTCAAACCATTCTCACTTGTCCCACATATGTAATGTCAGCTGTGAGGCAGATAAAGGCGCAGCTGCGAACAGAGCTCAAAGTGGACTCCTGCTGATTCCTTAGCAAGTTGTGCCTGCAGACAGCAAGTCCCACTTTGCCTGTTTGCAAATGGACAACACAAGGGAAATGCCCATTTGCACCTGTGGATCGAATGCAAACCGTGCCTGCCAGCAGACAAAGCAGGGCTCCCCTGGATCCCCCCCCCAATATTTTATTCAAGTTGGTACCCCTGGGTGCCAGCATGTACCTGCGCACAAAATGCATCTGACTCCCACAGAAAACATCCAAGATGAGGCGCTCATAAGCATCTGGGAGCTTCACATCCTGTAGAAAGGAGACAGGAGCAAGAGGTTGAATGTGCTGTGTACCTCAATGTACCTCCACTTTTTGAGAGGGTGCCTTCTATTCCTTGGAACTGTCACTGGAAGGAAAGAATTTGAGAAGCAGGCAGGACACCTCCTGAGCAGAACACTGCAATGCTAAGAAGCCTGGGAATCTAAAGTGCTGATCCCATATGTCTGTCTTCAACATAGTGGCTGCCACACAAAGCAACAGACTTGCATGTCTGAAAATGTGCCAGCAACAGTCTCACTTTCCAGAAGGCGGAGAGGGTGGGTGACAACCGCACCCCTCAAGCCTCCAGACCCTTGTGGTCCCTGACAAGCTGAGCACTTCTACCCCTCCACCGCCACTACTGCTCATCTCCTCCTGCTACCAATCCACACACTGTCATGCTTCTGCTCAAAATAAAGAAACAAAATTCCGCAAGGTCTCCAATAGGTCTGCCATGCACCTTTAACAACTGTGGAAAGGAAGCCTCTTTTACAAAATTGTTATTACTCAAGCACAGAATTTGGGAGTTTCCTTAGCCTATAAAGAGAGAAACTCTTGATAATGGTACCTTGTAGCGGTTGCCATAGGTGAGGTCCAGCTCAGATTCTTCTGGGTTGAAGAACATGCCCGGCTTCTTGGTCATCATCTTGGTATAGACGGCCTCATTGGGCTGAACACGAATTACCAGTTCATTGCGCTTGCACTGGCGCTGGAAGATGTCGCCCGGCACCTCCCGGAATTGCAGTCGCACCTCAGCCTTGCGCTCATTCAGTGCCTTGCCACAGCGCAAGACAAATGGTACTCCTGGGAGAAGCAGGTTCAAGAGGGAAAGAGACAGAGACAAGTTGGGACTCGTGATCTCCCCCACCAGTAGGCCTGGCACCCCAAATCAAGGATGTCCAGGCGTTGGTCCTTTACCCCTCCCTCTTTCCCTCCCTCCGACTGTACTCACCATCCCACCGTTCGTTGTCCACGTAGAGGACAGCGGCAGCAAAGGTAGGGGTGGTGGAGCCAGCTGGGACTGTGGGGTCATCCAGGTAGCCCTTCTGAGCCTCCCCTTTGCCAGAGGGATCTCCCACATACTGACCAAGCACCACATTCTCAGGCTTCACCTCTGAGATACACTTTAAAACCTTCACCTGGCAGAAAGACATGAACACCGTCTCAGAGCCTCACGAACTACCAAAAGTGATCTGAAAAAGGTGTGGTGTGTGTGTGTGTGTGTGTGTGTGACTGTGGGGACTCAAAGCTAAGAACTCAGTATTAACATCAACTGCTTACTTCTGGGCAATTTCAAGATTACAAGTTTCAGAATCAATCTCCTACATGGAAATGGCAGCTGTTAATGTGCCGCACACATTTCTCCAGTGGGCACTGGGTTCCTGTGGCATGTACACATGGCAAGACACACGTGCACCAACCATTCATGACTGAGTCCCCTGCGTGAGCACCATTTCCCACCTAGAAGTGACAACCACACAGAAATTTAATCTTGGCTGAAAATGCTCTTATGAGTACCAGGAAAGGATAGAAATCCTGTGCCCCAAAATAACTAGCCTAGTTCTGACAGCCAAAGGTGCTCAGCCACTATGGGGCACCAGCGTCTCCACTCAGGGCTTGTGAGCAACACCTTTTCTATTTTGTTTTCTTCTTGTGATCTAAGAGGATTTATATACCACTTCAACCTCATCATCAATGACCCATCATCAATAAACAGTTTAAAAACCAATACAGTATACATGTCTGAGTAGGCTTGCCTAAGCAGAGAAGTTTATAGTAAGTGTCAAAAACAGTACAACCAAAAGGCCTGCCTAATGTTAATTCTGAAGAGAGTGGACCTTCCCAAGGCAAGCAGGCAATTCATTTCCAATTTGAAGTGAAGGAAGGCAGACACAGAAACAGTAACTTGCTCAAGGACATTCAGATCAGAAGTGCTGGGTCCAAATTCTAGTTCCCATCTGTGACTCAGTCCTAGACATGCTCCTACCTTCTCATCACGCACATCATTGGAATTGGTAGAGGTTGGTTTCTCCATGGCAACCAGGCAAAGCATCTGGAGCAAATGATTCTGCATTACATCCCTGCAGAGGTGGCAGAAGGAATCAGTATAAGCTACAGGAACAGTACTGAAATCACCAGTCATGCCCCTCTCTCAGTCATCACCATCCCTATGTGCTTCCTGCTTCTGTTTCTGGTGGCCTGGTGCAGCCTAACTGCGAGGTTTCCTTGTATATCTGCACACAAGCAGCGTCTTGAAAGCAAATGGGGTGACTGGAACTGGGGCCCAGACAAGCATGAGGATCAGCAGAAAAACCCACGTGGCTGTCCCCTGCAGCAAGGCAGTCTGTGCACAATAAATTCGACAGGAGCACAAAAATCATAGAAAGCTGGGTTAGGTGGAGAATTTCAAAGCCAAACTATGTTTTATCTGGGCAGATATGGGGTTTCTGCTTCATCTGTCATCTGAGTGAATTACAACTCTGTGGAATTTTAGTGCCACATCTGTGGATCACTGTAGTGGTTTGCACACCTCAAACACACCAAGTAAATGATTCTACACCCTCCCTCGCCCTGTCCCCCCACTCTCTCACCGGATAATACCAAACTCATCAAAGTAGCCACCCCGTCCCTCAGTGCCAAATGGCTCTTTGAAGGTCAGAATGACACAGGCAATGTTGTCACGGTTCCAGATGGGGCTGAAGATCCGGTTTCCAAATCTGCAAATGAAGGGGGAAATGACCTGAGACTCAGGCTGAGGCTGCAGGGCAGAGATGCCCCAGCTGAGCAGCAGAACAGAAGGGCTCCACCAAACACTACTCCAATGGAGACCATACCCTGTCCCTAATCCACTTGAGAAGGTGCTTTATTGGCACAAATTTGAAGAGACTTTTGAAGCACATGGGTAGAACCAAGCCTGAAGGCATTTGTCAGAGGACTGAACAAAAAGTGCCTGCTTGAGCCCAGGTAGTTGCTGCCGAGGTCCCATGTACACCCACTACCACAGCCTTTGAATGCTGTCCCCCAAACTCCTTGTTTTACCTGAGCACCATCAGGTTCTGAACCATCTCCTTGCCCAGGTAGTGGTCAATGCGGTAGATCTGGTCTTCACTGAAAAGTGCGGAGATGTGATTCGACAACTTGTCAGAGCTTTCCAAGTCCTTGCCAAAAGGCTTCTCCACAATGACACGGTTCCAGCCCCTGGAGAATTGGGAAGCAGAAGATGGCAAAGGCCAGTTTTAAATGTGGGGTGTTACAAGCTGGTGTGGGGGTGTGAATCTAAGTGAGTCCTAGAGCCCTCTCCTCATACTGCACATGCACACACCCCCCCCCGAAAAGATATGTGAATCAAGCAGATTTTCATAGGTGTGAATTATGTTTCTTTGCA